CCCCCCCGTGACAGGAAGTCAGACCAGGCGCCTCCGGGAGAGGGGCAGGGCGGCCGGTTCGCAAGGGCGGACTTTCAGGCCGCTCACCCCCCTCCCAGAGCCAGGAGACTCCTGACCGAGAGGGGCAGAGGGGAACATTTAGATCCCCTTCGCCCCCGCAACCTCGGTCGGGAGAGTAGGGGCGGGCCAGGTCCGGACGGGATCGGACTCGGCCAATAGCGCCCCTACAGGTGAGGTGTGACCGGACGGGGCAGCTGGTGCGGGCGAACCGACCTCACCGCGGGGGCAGCCGGGTCCCTAATGCCAGTACGGAAACCGGCCTCCCGGGTGGGCAGCTGCGCCCGGGAGTAGTAAGATCCTCGGTGAATACTTCACCGGGGATCCACAGCGGGGGCAGGGCGGGCTCCTGACGCTCCGTTGAGCCAAACCGCCCTAGGGGGCGGCCCGAAAAGCCGCCCGGGTTGGGGGGCCGCCGTCATGCCCCCCTTTACAAACATGATGAGTGACAAAAAGGCGAAGATCTCCGGCGGATCGGATACGTCGGGCCGACACGGGGGGGCTATGGTCCCAGCCCCCCCCTGTCGTCAACAAACGATGGACCGGACGAGGGTGTGGCTGCCAGTGCGCCAACGGCGGGCGCGTCGGTGGTTCAAGCAGCCGCCGAGGGGAGGGGTGAAGTAGGGGGAGCGGATGGAGAGAAAGAAACGGGAGAGGGGAAAAGAAGAAAATTGGATGAGGAGGAAAGGATAGGGCCAGGAATTGAGGGGCACAGGGAGGAAGAGAAAAAGGATACAGAGACGGAGGAGGTGAAAGCATGGCCTGAGGGTCGGAATTGGGAAAAGTGCAAAGATTTTATTTTGCAGAGGATGGAACGGATAAAGGGATGTTCTGGGATGCTGGATGATGTGTGTGAAAGAAGTAAAAGGATGAGCCGTACAGAAAAGGATAAGGTGATGAATGGTAAAAACGATGAGGTGCTACTGTGAGGATGTGGTAAAAGTGTGCAATATAATGAATAAGTACTGGGAGGCAACAACAAGGAATAAGGACTTGGAAAGGGATAGGACACTGAAGCAGAAGAATGAGGAATTGGTAGAACTGGAGAGGCAGGTGGAGGTGGAGAAGAAGATTAGTGAAGGATGGAAAAGATTGTATATGGAAGAGGAGAAAAAGTTGATGGTAGAAAGAGAGAAAAGGAGATAAGAAAAGAAAGTTTGGCGGAGAGAAAGGGATCGACTGGAGGATGAGGTGCTAGTATGGAGAGCAGGAGGGAAGAAGGAAAAGGACCGGGGCGCGTCTCCGGCCCACATGGAACGAGTGGATCGGGCCGTGTCTCCATTTCCGAAGACGCGGCCCGATATGAGGGACCGGGCGACGTCCCCCCTGCGGGGCCTGTTTGCCGGACGGAGGGAGAAGGGGGCACCGGCGGTCGGACTGGTGCCGGCCGCCGCGGGATCGATCGCTCTCCCTGCCCGCCGCGGCTCCCCCAATAGATCGGGGTTGGGCTGTGGCGGGCAGGAGGGGTACGAGGAGGAGGAAAAGGGGTTCCAAGGGGGACGGTGGGAGAACGCGCACTCCGGGGCGTCCGGCTGTGCCGGGGGCGCTGCCGGCGAGGCCGACGACTGCGGCAGTATCGGTCCGCCTTGAACCGGGGGGCCTTTCTTATGCGGAGGCCCTCCGCAAGGCGAGGGCCGATATTGCCCCGGGTGCAGGTGGGGTCCGGCCCGCCTTTGTCAGGAGGGCCGCGAATGGCGGCCTCCTGTTCGGGCTGGCCGGACCCGAGAAGGAGGGGGAGGCGGACGCCCTGGCTGCCAAGGCGTCCCTCCCGGGGACCGTGATAACACGGCCCTCAAGAATGGGGGAGGTCCGACTCGTCGGTTTCGACGAGTCGGTCCTCCCCGAAGAGATTGTGGAGGTCCTCGCCGTGCGAGGAAGATGTGGGCCGGGCAAAGTGCGCCTCGGCCCCATCCGATGGGGCTGGCGGGGCGAGGAGGCAGTCTGGGTGAAACTCCCCCTCGCCGCGGCTGCCACGGTGGCGGCTGAAGGGAGGATGGCGCTGAGGTGGGCGGGGGCGCGGGTGGTGATGCTCGCTCCCCGCTCTTTCCAGTGTCACCGGTGCTGGCGGCTCGGCCACATCCGGGCGGCCTGCTCCGCGTCAATCGACTGGAGCGGGCTGTGCTACCGGTGTGCCTCGAGGATGGCCGGGACTCGAGCCACCGGTTGGGTGGTCCCGAGTGCCCCATGGGTGGTGGTGCACCGGCGGGCGGAAGGCCGCCGGGGCATCGCAGGGGCCGGCCGCCGAATGCGGCCGACTCCGGCCCCCCTCCGGGAGGCATGCCGGCGGACCCCGGGAAATCATCCCTGGGTCCGACCGGCGAAGAGGGCCCCGGTCTGACCATCTAGACCGGGGCCACGGCGCCGGCCGAACATCGGGCCAGCGTCGGGGGGGAACCGAGACCGGGGGCGGGTCGCCCCCTGGCGGGACCCTACAAGGATCTCGTCTTGAGGCGGCTCGTCCCTGGGGTGAGTACGCCCTGTCTCGGTCCCTCCTCTCCCCTAAGGGTCGCTTTGGGGGGTGTGTGGGGACGCACCCTCCTATCATAGCGGCCCGGGAGGGAGGCGACGCGATGTTGGGTCGCACCGCGCCGCTGATCAGGAGGAGCTGTGACCGGGGGTGATTTATTACCCCCGGTCCGGGAGGGGTCCTCAGGACTGCGGAGGGGGGGTCCGCGGAAGTAATACGCAAGTGGTTCCCGCGGACCCCCTGATGACCGCTGAGGACGGACCCGCCAGGGGTTTTAGTGGGTAGGGCCCCCGTCGATCTTCTCGGCGGGGGAGGAGTCCCACATAACCCGCGGTCTCCCCCCGGAGACCGTGGGTATGCGGAAAGGCATTTCCCCTGGCTTAAAAAAAAAAAAAAAAGAAAAAAAGAAGATCCATTGCCTTTATCTACAAATATTATAACAGTTCCAGAAAATAAGCAAAGAAATACGTCATCTGCAAAAAAAAATAGAACAAGTGTTTGTAAAAAGAGTGTTCCAGAACCAGATTTATTTGCTCAAAGCAAGAAACGAAAAGTAGATACCTTTAAGAAAACGATACTTCAGGAATCAAACCATTTGAATATTTTAGCACAAAAAGTAGGGGATGCATTGTTAACATGTACTTCAGAACCTGCTTCTGTTACACCTCATGCTACAGAATTTCTAAGTTCATTTTTTCAGGATATAAAAGCTATGTTAAGTTCTATAGATTTTGCTTTGCAGAAAGTACCTGAACCTAAACAATTATGGGGTGAGACGCCGCAGGAGGAGGGCGGCGCCTCACTTACTCGCGCATCAGCGCGGAATGCCCGATTGCCTAATTGATATTATGCAGTTAGTGAGACAACACATTAATTACAAAAATTGAGTATTTTTTTGTATTATAAATCTAAATGTTAAGTGTCTTTGTTTGCTAATTGGTACTCTGGCCAAAATGAGAGTGCAATTTATATGTAGTGCATTATGACTTTACCAAAGTTTTAGTAATATAATAACACAACTCGCACATGTGTTCCTAAAAAGTGTTAATTTATGTTTTATATTTAATATTTATAAAAAAGTTGCTTTGTGAGAAGTTGCTTTGCTTATAATTTGTGAGAAGAAAATTGTTTAATAACAAATATAATATTTCAATATGTTATATTGATTTATTGCTTTAATTAATATTGATAACAAAGAAACTTATTTTATTTTTATATCTTTTATTTTACATTTGACAAATTGTACACATATGATACATAATCATATACACTATAATCTTCACAATTACAAAATTGAATAGTAATTGTGAGGACTATTGTAAATGTCTAACCAGGTAGATTTATATTATATCCCCTTAATGCTCTTTGAAATTGCCAAGGTGCTTGAGCATTACCAGTAGGTGATATAAAATAATCTCTTAAATAATTTCTTAAACATTAAGAAATAGCACCAGCTCTGTTAGCTCCTACTCGCGACAGTTCTTTAAAGTATTGACCGGCTCCTATAGTACGCCATCGACCTTCTATTATTATTCCTTCATCAGTCTCTACATCACACCAGTCAAGCTGACAATATTTGCTATCATTACAGTTCATTGCAAAATTGTGTAAACAAATAAGTGCTTTACAAATCCTTTCTGCATTTTGTACTGAGCAACACATGTTTCTATGTAGGATTCTCCATCGAGAGCTAAGAATTCCAAACGCATTCTCTATACATAATCTTGCTCGCCCTAATCGATAATTAAATATTCGCTCTTCGTCTATCATCCTGCCAACTCTTCTTGGGAAAGGACGCATCAGATATGGTTTTAGGGGAAATGCTTTATTAGCCACAGCAACATAAGGGAACGGAACATCTCTGTTTGGTAAAGGTGTAGGTTCTGGTAAGTTTACTGTACTATTTTCCAAATCAACTGCCAAATCTGTCGTACTCCATACACCACCATCACTTATTAAATCTGCAAATAAGTTATGTTCATTACTCATTGAAAAACGGTTCACAAAAAATATTGAATCCACATCGATTCAAACATCAATCCCGTCGACAAATTCACATCGATTCGACGTCGAATTTATAAATAGGATTGATATTTGATTGAATCAATGTGGGTTTAATGTTTTTTCAATCAATCATTTCTCAATTTGTAGTAAATAATGATGGCCTATATTGCATAAAAAGTATATTTACTATATTGGCCAATATCAACCCACGTAAACTTGTAATTAGCATCACACATCGCCATGAGAACGATGCTAAAATATCCTTTATAATTATAGAATTCAGATCCTGAACATGGTGGTGCTTGTATTTCCATATGGCAATCATCAAGTGCCCCAATGCAATTGCCAATTGAGAATTGCCATTTGAGAAAATAGTTTTTGCTTATTTCCTTCCAATCTTCACTATTTAATGTGGGTAAAACAATCGGTTGAAGAGCAAGCCATATGGCGTTGCAAACTTCTGGTATAATTTTGTGCACTGTTGATTTTTCACAACGGTATTCCAAATGTTTACTGCGCACAGTATCGCCTTGGGCAAGATGCCTAGAAAAAAAATAGGAAAGAGGCAATTAAACAGAATGTTAATTTAGTTAAAATTACTATCAATTACTGTAAAAAGAAAGAATGATAGCTACTTACGTTAAGGTAATGGCCAATTGTGAATTGGGTGACAAAGATTTACGAATGCTACGTTTTCTTAAATATGGAGTTACTAGCTTTAGTAGAAGTTGATATTGTTCCGGCCAAAATCAAGTGTAAGCAAAAAATTCTTCGTGATCTGTCATTGTCATTTCACAAAATAGATTACACACTGTTCCGTACGGAAGCTGTCGTCTGCACGGATAGCGGGCGGCGGACGGCCGTGCGCCATGCGCGTTCCGCTCGCGGGCGACTGCCGCCCGCCGCCGCTATGCGGCAGCGCGCCGAGCCGGGGCCATCGCTCGCAGTTAAATTTCGGTGCGGCGCCTATATAAGCCGCAGGCGACAACTCTAAGCCTTCTGACTGCGTTAGCGCATCTGGTCCCTGTCTCGCTGAGGTATTCTTTTGTACTCTATTTAGCTTCATATTGCCTTCATGAGTGCGCAAGCACGTTGGGCATTTGCCTCACCAAAGGTATACTTGCATCTCTGCACTAAGCTCCATTGCCTTAAGTGTTGCAGACACGTTGGCATTTTATGTTCAGGTCTTCGGTGATTCTACACCACTCCCCGCAGCCCTTTAGAGTGCGTTTGCATGTTGGGCTATTGCCTCTAGAGTGTCCGAGGACACGTTGGCATTTACGTTACGAAGTGTATGGTAACTCCACGGATCTCCACCTTCTCAATACAATCAAGGATTGAGAGAAGGCTTCGCGCGACCACTTCGGATTACCTTGACGCTTTCACCGCGGTGGACGTCTCTCTTCGCGACATCTCCCGTATCGCAGACAGCGCGTATCAGGTCGACAGCACGCTGTACTGTCGGGCTCACGACTCCGCGCAAGTCGTCGTAGGTTTCTGTCGAAGCTCTGCTGCCAGGGACGCAGCATATACGCGCGAGTCACGCTTGCCTTCTCGTCCACTCAGGACTTAGCCGCTGCCAGAGACGCAGCATATACACGCGAGATAAGCTCGCCATCACTCAGTCGCTGCCCGGGCTGCAGCACTTACACGAGCCACGTTCGCTTATATACCGACACTGTCTCTATACCCGCCGCATACGTGACTCAACGCGCGAGTTACATTCGCGCCTAAGTCCCTGCGAGACTTAGGCTACGTCGTCCACACGACGTTACGTCCTCATTATTATTGATCCTCCGACGAGGGAGACTTCTCCTAACGCGGAGGCGCATACCCTCGTCTCCAAAAGCCTCGCGAATCACTTGCACCCCACGTCATCTCACGGGGCCGCTGGATAGCGGACTGCCGGCGACGAAGTCCGCGGTGGGTGTATATCAGTTGGACACGGGGCAATTGGACACAGTCCAATCACAAGTCGCTGTTCCAAGGGACCCTACAAATGTCTCTAATCACACGGTGCTGTGATTGGCTGTGTCCAAATGCACCGTGTCCAAGTGCACCGCTCCCGTCTGCGGTCTCCACGCGGCAAGCGGACACCTATCCGCATCTCGCAAAACAAACCGGCCGCTCTTCACTCTCGGGCCGTTCGAAACATACACAAATGACTGTTCTTCTTTTTTTTTTATTGATCGGCTTGACCCACCAACGTCTGGTTTTGATTTTTTTGTTTGCTATAAGCTGAAGGAGAATACTTTGTTGTCTGAACAACATAAAAACGGTTATAAGTCCTAATTTTTTTAAATCCATTTGTTATTAATTTGATTAAAATAAAAAACAAGCTTTGATAAACACAGAAGATGTCAGTTGAAAAGTTTAACATTCTTTTGGAATCGATACCGGTTGAAATTCCTTCTCCTAGAAAAATAATATAGAAATATATAACGTCTCTCCTTTCTACCGGATTTCGCTCGCCGGAGTCCGGATTCGTGTGAGGGAAGACGAGAGAGAGCGTGGTTGATATTTACAACTTAGATTTATTCAGAACGTCTGAAAGAAGTGTTATGTACAAAGCAGTATTTACAGTATGTATAGATGCTCGTCGTATATATAGATAGTCGTGGTGCAGAAGGCACGACTACGGCACGCGGAGCGACGGTTGCGCGGGCAGCGTGCCCGATCGCGGCGAGGTGCGGTCGTGTCGACACGCGGTTCCCCAGGAGTTAAGAACGACGATCGATTGAATCAGTAACACGGTCGTCGATAGAATGCCAAAAGAGGACGACGATTGAATCATCAACACGTTCGTCCTAAGATGGGAACGATGTTCCCCAAAAGTCAGAAGCGACGATCGGTTGAATCGGGCAACACGGTCGTCGCGGTTGGGAACGATGTTCCCCAGGAGTCAGGAGTGACAATCGATTGAATCGGCAACACGGTCGTCGATAGGATGCAAAAGAAGACGACGATTGAATCAGCAACACGTTCGTCCTAGGTTGGGAACGATGTTCCCCAGGAGTTAGGAGCGGCGATCGGTTGAATCGGGCAACACGGTCGTCGCGGTTGGGAACTATGTTCCCCAGGAGTCAGAAGTGACGGTCGGTTGAATCGGGCAACACGGTCGTCGCGGTTGCAAGGAGAGGACGACGATTGAATCGGCAACGCGTTCGTCCTAAGTCGGAAACGATGATCCCCAGGAGTCAGGAGCGACGTTCGATTGAATCGGGCAACACGGTCGTCGCGTTTGCTAGGAGAGGACGACGATTGAATCGGTAACATGTTCGTCCTATGTCGGGAACGATGTTCCCCAGAAGTCAGGAGCGACAATCGATTGAATCGGGCAACACGATCGTCGCGTTTGCTAAGAGAGGACGACGATTGAATCGGCAACACGTTCGTCCTAGGTCGGGCACGGAAGGAGGACGACGATTGAATCAGCAACACGTTCGTCCTGGAGGATGGGAACGGTAGCGGTTGAATCGGCAACTCGTCACCAGGAGAGCGTTGTCAGGGATATTCTCCCTAACCGATCTCGGATGAGACCGGTCGACGACTCTTGCCGGTAGCGGCTGAGTGTTCCCTTTATATCGCGTCGACTCGCGAAATTTAACCGCGAGAAGAGACCGCGGCTCCGGCCGGCGCCACGTAGCGGCGCCGTACCGAGTCAGCGCGTGGTGAGGCTCGTTGCAACTGGCGCCGACGGGTGTATATCAGTTGGACACGGGGCAATTGGACACAGTCCAATCACAAGTCGCTGTTCCAAGGGACCCTACAAATGTCTCTAATCACACGGTGCTGTGATTCGCTGTGTCCAAATGCACCGTGTCCAAGTGCACCGCTCCCGGCGCCGACGGAGGGGATGGGGAAAGGTTTCGACGCTAGCAGCAGTTAGATGCGAGGGTACATATATATATATATATATATATATATATATATATATATATATATATATATATATATA